AACTGCCAAAAAAAAAAGTTAATAGGAATACTTTGAATAGACTCAGCGAAAATAAACTTCTAAGTAACCACTCTAGAAATAGAAGTGGTAAGCAGCCTGGAAATAACCAGGGTGGAGGGTCATCAAGGTCTATATCGGTTCTATGCCCAAATCACCTCATGAATGTTTTCAAATTCTAATTACATGTCAAAGAAATCAGAACTGCAAACTACTGTTAGTCGTGGCCATAGTTCCTGAAGGAATGACTCCATCCAGTGAAGCATGCCTAAAGCCAAGCTTTGGCCTGACATCACAGGACTGGCAGCGGTTGAACAATGTATGTACTCTGCATCTGAACTGGATGTTTATGGTGTGTGTATGTCAGTTCTTTCCACTTGAGCCACCTTTGGAAACATGATACAGCTACATGTCCTGATCACACACCCTAAGAAGATGCAGTATACCCTAAGAAGATGCAGTATAGAAGCCCAGTTATTCTCATTTTCTAGTTTTTCCTTCTTTTACTTGTGTGTGTATGGGAAAGGATATGGGCACGTGAGTGCAGGTGGCCTTCAGAAGTGAAAGGCATGGGATCACCTGGAGATCAGAATGGGTGCTGGGAATCCAACCCGGGTCCTTTGCAGGAGCAGTACATGCTCTTAATGGCTGAGCCATATCTCAAGCCTCCAATTTCACATTTTTTTTCTGTTTTCATTTTATGATGAAATTAAAATATTTGTGAGCGTGGCCATACCTGTGTTCTGAAATGAGCATCATTTTATTATATAGTCTGTGATGGACAAGTCAGGACATCATAGACTCAGGGGCCTAGAACAAGACTGGATGTGGGGATAAAAATAAAATAAAGGTAGACAAAACCTAAGAAAAAACATCCAAAGTTATCTACACACACACACACACACACACACACACACACACACACACACACACACGAATTCCCATATCTAAGTCTGATTTTGGCTTGTACTCTTCATCTAATAGTTGAGTCTGTGAACTGATTTGTCCATCCTGATGTGGGAAAGGCAGGCAGTATGTTTTACTTGAACATGGCTTCTAACAGGCAAAGCAATTATTTCTACATGGCAGATATTAAATCATCCCATAAATTTTGATGGCCTGTGTTATTGAAGGATGTGGGGGGGGTGTGGTGTGTGTGTATGTGTGTGTGTGTATGTGTGTATGTATCAGACAGTGGTAGTACATGCCCTTAATCCGAACACATGGCAGGCAGGGTCTCTGTGTGTTCAAGGACACAGCCAAGCATGGTGACACATGCCTTTAATCCCAGTACTAACCATAGCGATCTGGACGTCTGAATAGACAGGCAGTGATGAAGAAGTGAGGTAGCTGGGTTAAAAGCCAATGAGAAGGCCGAACAGCAAGGCAATAAAGGTGCAAGTTAGACAAGAAGAAGCTGGTTCAGTTCTCTTGGGAAGCTATAGCGACGTGGTGAGCTAAGGTTAGTTGGTGGCTATCACTCTGATCTCTATGGCTTTCACCCCTGTATTTGGCTCTGTGTTCTTACTTATTAAGACTGTTTAGAAATTCGTCCACACCTACTGACATATGAAAGATTAGTAAGACTTTCTAGAATACATTAAAATGAGCACATTGCTAAAATGTATCAAATTCTTAAATGTATTTGTTTTTTTTAATCCAGGTGTTTCTTCAAGGCAGGGAAGACTTGCTGTTTATAATCTCAAATGCTGGGCACTGTAGAGACTTTCTCGGAGACCATGCAGGGCTCATGGCTTCATCACTGGATCTTAGACCCTGCCACTTTAGTTGTCCCTGCTCTCGTTTTAATTGAGACACTTGGACTGTTCTGTTAGGTTTTACTCCTGCTGATTTTTATTTTTGGCAAATCAAATGAGTATATCAAGTTATCAGGATGAAGGTTTTGCTGATGATTTGCAAAATTTTCAAGAGCTCTGCTTATTAATCAGTTTGGTGGAACCATAGCCCTCTGCCTTACTAACCTGAGAACTCTGTTTTTCGTGCTCCCTCAGCAGCTGCTGTCTCTCTAGCCTGTGCTATGGATAACTGATATGTGGGATAAATTCTAACTCCCCTGGGCTCAAAAACTCACTTGCTACTCAAGCCTAAATTGAAAAGATCCTCATTTACAGAACCGTGACATTTCCTGGGTCACACCACTAAAGCATCGCAGCAGCCATGCCCAAAATGACATGATCCATGTGAATATAAACAAACACTGTTCTGCCCTGCAGAACATTAGGCCTGGGATTCATTTTTTGCTATTCTTTGTGTGAAGGAAGGCTCTCTTATGTAGACAACACACAAAACCCAGCCTCTGTCTTCTGAATCCCACACTACCTCTACGCAGTGACTAGATTTGATTTTACTTGCTTGCTACAAATTAAAGATTAGATAAGTGATAGATGATAGGTAGGCAAATAGACGGAGAGATAATGGATAGATGATATATAGGTAGGTAGGTAGAGAGAGAGAGAGAGAGAGAGAGAGAGAGAGAGAGAGAGAGATGCATACATACATACATACATCAATTAAGTGACCTGTCTTAAGTGTCCAGGTTTGGCAAAAAGACTATGATTGGAATGTTTTTGGTTCATAGTATAAACCAAGTTAAATGTTCTCACTTTGTGAGAATACACACTCCTTTTATATAATCTCCATTTTATTAAAATTAAATTATTCCTAAACCCAGTCTTAAGATACCATTTTTCATTTAAGGAGACACGTCGGCCTGACAGCCACTTCCCTTGCTTTGTGTGGGTTCACATCTTCCCAGATCTTCAAAGTTGACTCAAAGCTGCCTCCTGAGAGAAGCTTTACCAAATTAAACTCATCAGGAAGCAGTCTCTACTCCCAGGAATTCAGATGTGACTTTCAGCCCTCCAACTTGGTCCCTGTGTCTGCCCTTAAGGCTGCTGGCTAAACCATATGTTTTGCTTCTTCTGGTCCTCACATCCCACAGTGAGCCTTCTAAGAACTAGTGAATAGACTGCAAAAGGGTTAATATATGAACACATGAGTTTATGGATGGAGCTGACGACCTATATCATAACTAATGGTTTTTTCATATAACTCCATCTCTGAGCCTTTATTGTCAGGTGAACCAGTCTTGAAACAAGAACTCCAAGCAGAAATCTCCCTCTCAGATATGGCACAAGAGTCCATCTGAAACCCAAGAAATCCATGCTTCAACTGGGCTCAAACTGAGGCACTGGGTCTCCATATAGAAACACTTTTAAATGCAAATGTCTAGGTTTATAAGCTTCTACGGAGTGACTTTAAATTGGATTGGACATCTTGTGACATGTGGCTGAACTCATGAGACAGCAGAGCAAAGTCCAATGAGGAAAACGGGGACTGAAGGTTGAGGGTATACTTTCTCAAAGTTGGAGAAGATGCAGATTACAGCCTGGACACTCCAGCTTCATCGTCCTCATCCTTTCCTGGAAGATGGCATTTCCTGGGTCTGTCACAATCACTTTTACACTCCATCTCCAAAGCGGCGGGTCTCCAGCAGAGGGTGGGAAGGGAGTGGATTTCACCAAAGATCTACAGCAGTGGGGAGACCAAGATGGATCGAGGAATGGGAAGGATCTGGCAGGAGGCAGTTTTCCGGTAGGTTTAGCGAGCATGCACAAACATCGGTTATGTGTACACATCCATCAGCGTCCTGGCTGAAGATCAACCACCAGCTTCTGCTCCCAATGAGACAAAACAATTAGCACAGCCAGGCACTATCCCTCTGTGCACGCTCCAGTTCCAAAAGACAGGGGTAATTTGTCTAACCCAAACACTATTCCCTTACCTTCATGTTCTCACGTGGCGGCATTAGCTGATCTCGGCTCCCCTATGAGCCATGCAAAGCTTGTTAAAGTCCAACCCAATCTAATGCTGAGTATTTCCTACTTCACAGAGAATATGAGAAGCTTTCAATATGCTTCCCTCCCCGCTCTAAACTTACATAGATCCGCACTCCCTCACACCTTAATTTCCTCCCCACACTGAATGTCCACTCTCAGCACTGAGCTAGCTTAAACTCCTATGGATAGATTCCAGCTGCCCCCTCCCCTTCTAATACTGTACTCTGTGGGCCATGCCCTCTCAGGCTTTCCATCAGTTTCTTTCACTCCAGGCTGCCTCTCCCTGGTCTGCAAACAAGTTCAAGTCATAGATACCCTTTGAAAAGAATGTAACCTGAGTGCATGCTCACACATGTGTGCAGGAGTGCATGATGCACATGTGTGAGTGGCCACCAGTGGTTGAATTCAGTGTCTCCCTCAATTGCTCCACATGCGATTTTAAAACAGGGTCTCTCATTGAACCCAGAGCTTACCAATTCAGCTATGCTGAGTGACCAGCATTACCCAGGAGTCCTCCTGTCTTTGCCTACCCTCCACGCTGTCATGCCCAGCTTTTCTTTTTCACACAGGTGCCAGGACCCACTTCAGGTCCATATGCTTACACAGCAAGAGCTTTACCAGCTAAACCACTTCCCTAGCCACCACCCCCCCCAAAAAAACTTATTTTTCCCTTTCAATTTCCACTTTATGTCTTGACCAAACTATACAGGCAGTGTCATCTGTCCAGCTGCTCTCAACCACCTCAATCCTTCCAGCCGTCAGCCCATTAAAATCAAGCATCAGTACTGGTACCACCGAGAGCTGACAAGAGAAGCCAGAGATCACTAGTGACCGTGAAAAACCATGTCAAACAGCACCTGGCCTGCTTCTCCCATCCTCCCAGGATCAGAGCCAGAAGCATAGAGGTCGGTCACCCTTGGGACTTTCTCCTTTCACCTCTCTCTGCCACCAGTAACTAAATCTTGTATTCAACGCCAAATACAGTGGCTCATATGGATTCTGAAATTCATAGCCCTGGGTCCCTGGCTTTGCCTTGATACCAACTTGCTTCGTGATTGGTCTCCCTCGTGGCTAAGGCCCAGTATCCTTGTCTACATGTCTAGAAACCAACTTAAGCCTTTGAGTTTGGCCCTCCACCTGGATACAGTCCACCTAAGTCACTTGCCTTCCATGCCCTATTTATCTAATAAATGTCTAAAGATTGACTTTGAAATTTAGAGTCTCATCTTCCTCCAAATATTGTCCATACCATCTTGACCTCCCAGTTCATCTCCATCATAGGACACAGAGATAAATCCACCCATCCTGTTCCTACAGCCCTACTTCAAAATGGTTCTAACTGGCAGAGAACTGGGGTTTCTGCATCATCAAATACCGTTTTCATTAACAATTTAGCTAGTGCATTCTCCAGCCCTTGTTCTGCTATGGATGAGTGAAATCATAACAAGAGTAGTTTCCTAGAGAAGGGCCAAAGAAATGCAAAGGAAATGGTATATGCTGATGTCCAGGAAGAGAAGAAACTACACAGTGTTCAAATCTGCGTTCAATGGAGGACAGGCACCCACTGTGGCTGAGCCAGAGCTGAGGCTGGACACTCCTCTTCTGGTCTCACTGGAAGGAGAGAGAGACAAAAGTCAGCTCCATTTAGATCAGCTCACGGCTATCCCACTAAGCACAGAACTTGATGCCAGCCTCTGGGATCCAGGGGCCACAAAGATGAAAAGAAGTACTCTTTGCTGTCAAAGCAGCTTGTGAGCCATGACTGATCTTTTTTGTGTTGGAGTCTGGTGACCGAGTTTTGAATTCTGGTAATGCCATTCAGTAGTTAGAGGACTTCATTCTCCTCTGAGGTTCACTTTACCACGTGTAAAACTTAAGTACCACCTCACACGGTTGGAAGGTATGGATTTAGTGTTTGAAAAATTGGCACACTGCTCAGCTCCCAGCAAGTGCTATAAAATGGAAATGTCCAGCAGCACTCCAGAGGGAGCATTGGATGCTCCACGCTGGATGTGTGAGATTAAACAGAGTGCTTGCCTTTCTGAACTTCAAAATCTCTATCTTAAGAAAAAGCCAGTAGTCTCCATGCTCACAAGATGTGCGCAGGGAAAATATATAAACATAACATACATAAAATTATTCAATAAACTATAAAACACTCGGGCTCTACAAACTGCTCTAAGAGACACAATGTGGCAGAGCCGGGTAATTCTAACCTTACAGAGCCATGAGTCGGTCATCTTCCCTCCTAATGAAAATTGATTTTATTAAGTGCTATTTCCTATGTGAGTCACCATCTGAAATACTTTGTAACAATAACCCCTCCCCCTGTCTTTATGGCAGCCCTTTAAGGCTAAATGCTTTTTAAATTTGTTTAGTTAATTACTTAACTAGAGCACAGAGTGGTACATGTGCCACCATGTGCTTGTGGGGATCAGAGGACAGTTTGTGTAAGTTAGTTCTCTCCATCCATCATGTAGCTTCTGGGCTTTGGAGACAAACACCTTTACTTCTTCCTTATTCCCCAAGTTGTCGCTGAAAGCTGAATTATGTACATTCATTCACACAGTAATGGTTGTAAATTGTGGCTCCTGTGCAGCCTTCCCTAAAAAGGCCAGATAACTACTTAATTCTGCTTGAGGCTTCAGGGGTAGGGGTTTTTTGGTGAAAAATTATAGAAAAATGTTGGCTAATCCTGCCTCTGTGCGCTGTGCTCTCCCTGAAGACAGAGACATATAACCCAATAACATTTACCATCGCAGCTTCGTGCTTCTAATGAAGCCGTTCTCTGTACATCCTCCTGCTATGGCTGCTAATCCTCACAAACTAGTGGGGATAGAGAACACCTTGGAAAGGACAATGACAACCAAGAGAAAGGTACCACAGTCCCTGGCAGGTGCACAAACTCTTAATGTAGATAAAGTACACAGTTGATATACAGCCATAACACTCCATCTGGTCTGACAAAGCACACAATTATTTACTGTGTGAAGGGAGCTGGATGATGCAGGGAGGGGGGAATCATCTGCACTTGGTGGAAAACATGTACCCAGCCTTCACACCCTGAAAGCCACCTGCTTTTGACAATGTCACTTGACTACGGCAGACTTTAATAAGTCCCCACCACCCTTCCTGCGCCAGAATCAAGACCCATCAAGCCCTCTCTACTGTTCTCAGGACTCTGGATCCACAGCTTTTTTCTTATTCACTATGTGTAAGGAATCAGCCCACCTCTCTCTGCTTGCCCTGGAACTACTTTGACAGTATTCCGTGGAAAGCACTCTTCGTTTACAAGTTATGGCCTGATGAGTAATTCTCTTTGTTCAGATTGAAAACAAAAACACACACAACTTGGTGAGTTCATTTCAAAATAATAACTTACAACATTTTCCCCTAAACATTGTTCTAATTAAAGGACATGGCTTTGTCTCAAAAGACTGAGGCCGGTGGGAACCTTACTTTTGTCCCTAGATCACTAGCACACCATTAAGTGCTTGATGAATGAATGAATATGTGAATGAATGAATGAATGAATGAATGAATGAATGAATGAATGAATGAATGAATCAAGAAGCTGATGGCTGAGTAAGCAGTAACTAGTGTCTATTGCTTCTGATACATATTTTTGCCTATGTTCATAATCATTGCAGGGTCCTTAGCAAAAATTACAGATCTCCCTCTCCTTAATAATAAAGCCCCAAATTCCTGAATTTATTCAGAGTAACCATGATCCCAGTAAAAGACTATATTTCCCTGTCTCTTTTAAAGGTGAGTGTGGCCTATGACCAAGGCTAGTGAATGAGATTTAAGCATGATAAGGTTTTCAAGAAATTTTCCCTAAACGCAAGCGAAGGGGGTCCTCCTTCTTTCCTACTTCCTGCCATCTAAAATGTAACAGATGGGGTCTAGACGCATTCTTAGACTTTAAATACAAGGATCACCCACAGCTGAAAGAAGTGCTTGAAGACACAAACTCCCAGTGCCCCCGGGAACTGCCACCCCAGTGGACATGCCTGTTGAGAGCACGAAGATCCTTGTGCCCACAGATCTCCAGGAAATTCAGTATGTTAAGCACCCAGGATTGTTCTTTCAAGGGAAAGGATGTACAACCTGTTTTTCCAGAAAGCTGGGAATTGGGAGTGATTAATAGCCTGGTGATCTGCATTGTTTGTTGGACTGGGCCATATCAAGCTCCTACAGCCAGGACTGAAGATGGCTGTAGTCAGATTTTTCTTTGGGCCACCAGCTCACAAATAACAATATGGAGACTTATTAATTATGAAAGCTCTGCCTTAGCTTAGGCTTGTTCTCAACTAGCTCTTGTAAGTTAAATTAACCCATTTATATTAATCTACATTCTGCCATGTAGTGTTACTTCATCTATGTACTGCCCATCCTGCTTCCTCTGAGTCTGGCTGACAACTCTGTCTTTCTTCTTCCCAGCTTCTCTCTCTCTCTCTGTGTTTCTGGAAGTCCCAACTAACTCACTCTCTCTCTCTCTCTCTCTCTCTCTCTCTCTCTCTCTCTCTCTCTCTCTCTCTCTCCTAGCTATTGGCTGTACAGCTTTTTATTACACCAATCACAGCAATACATCTTCACAGTGTACAAATATCCCACAATGTTTCCCCCTTTTTGTCTAAATAAAAAGGGAAAGTTTTAATTCTAACACAGTAAACACAGTAAAATTATATGCAATAAGAACAATTACCAAGTAAAAATTACAATTACAATGTCCAGTCTATCTGTATTTAGCAAATTCAGAGAAAATATTTCATTATCTATCCTATCTTGGTTAGTCAAAATTTTGTATGTGATTTACTTTCTATCATAACTATGGAAAACTGTAACTATAACTAATCTTCAACCCCACCAGAGACCTGAGAAGGATATAATATTGCCTGAGTAAACAGGAAGTGCAGAGTAACTCCAAAACTAAGAAGACACAGAGACATCTGGCTGCCTGGACAATCACCCCAAGGTCCTTCTGCAACATTTGGGCAACCATCTTTAGCCTATAGGCCTAGAATATGTGACAGACTTTTTGTGACGCGGGAATTTTGAAGAACTGTCCTACCTTGTCTTGGCAAAGCTAGGCAATCACCTTTTGTGTCCTTCTTGCCCAATGTGAACAGCATATTGTCAGCAGTCAAGGCAAGAGCAGTTTCTTGCCCAAATGGCTAGATTTGCAACATTTAAAGCAATCTCCATATAGAGATTCTTCAATGACCTTCTCTGAAGCGGATTGGTGCTGCCAGGAAGAACAGACATGTCTCATTGTCAAGAAAAAGACTTATGTTATTAAAACATCTTAAATGCTTGTTCTGTAGGTGTTGAAGACCACATGTCTATCTAAAATATATAGATATTTTATTTATCTATAAATATCTATAGACTGTGTGACTTTAAAAACATACCTAGCATGGCCACAAATTTGATTGTTATAGATGACTGACTACTAACCTACATTTTTTTTAGTTATCATAAACAGTTTGTAATAATAGCTTTTAAGGACTAGGACTTTATATTACATTTTAAAATGAGCTACATAGGTATAATACCTTAAACAAGAGTAGAAATATATATATATATATATATATATATATATATATATATATAGTATGTTAAAACAAAAATAACCTTCAATTTGTATCAATTGTAAAAATCCATACCAATGTAAAATATTTGAGATTAATAGTTACTTTTTAGTTTAAAAGTAGATTTAATAATCTAACTTTTTATCCTATCATTTCTATACCCCCCCTTTTTCTTTTCAGAAAAAGATCCTTGAATCTAATCTCCTTTGCTTAGTTTCCTCCCTGACTATGACCAATAATGACTTACAACCAACTCCCCCAAATGATGATAAATATCTATAATAAACCAAATGACCAAAACCACCCACCCCACCTCTTAAGGATGTGGGTATCATGTTCTTAAAATTACTTCCTGCTATCTGGGAGCGGCAGCATATTTGGGGGACCCTGAGATGATGGTCAAGTCCTAAGAGAGCTAGCTGTTGTCTAGTCTTGGTATGATGGGGAAGTGTAGGGCTTATCTGAAGTCCTGGTTGGAATAGTCTATAAGGCTAGACCATCTTAGCTAACTGCCTTGAAATTGTCCTGAGCAGATTGTAGTTCAAAGCTGATCATTGGGTGGTGTTTGTCAGCTTAATGGCTTTACCACAATCCAGGTGGAATTGTCATTGTGGGGACCCATCATTTTTTTGGAGACTTCAAAACTCACTGTTAGGAATGGTCACTGTAGAAAACTTTTAAAACATTTAAAATGTACATGCAGCAGATCTCAGAGAGGTTAAAAAACTACAATCTATTAAATATATTCAGGATATGCAAGCTTAGTTCCTAGTTACCTGATTCAGACTCAAGCCCAAAATCATGTACAGGAAGCCTATTTCTAGAATTAGTTAGTACTCTATATGAGCATTAAGATCACAACAGAAAGCATATATATATATATATATATATATATATATATATATTATATTTATATATATATAAATCTTATAACTCTTTAGATAATATTTATACCTTAAGAAGAAAATTTTTGTTGATTTTTTTTTTATTGTAAATGCTCAGCCAATAGCTCGGGCTTATTACTAAATAGCTCTTACATTTTAAGTTAACCCATATTCCTTATTAACACTCTGTCACGTGGTGGTACCTTTATTATCATGGCACATTCATTCATATCCTGCTCCCTCTGCATCTGGCTGGTGACTCCTTCTCCTTCCAAGTAACCTTAGTTTGGTCGCCCCACCTATACTTCCTGCCTGGCTACTGGCCAATCAGTGTTTTATTAAACCAATTTGAGTGACAAATCTTTAAAGTTTACAAGAGGATTATTATTCCACAGCAGGTAAACATTGATTGTCATTCTTAAGGATGAAGTTCACCTTGTTTTCCTGAGGTGGAATCTCTTGCTGGCCTGTGATTCAATGATTCAGCCAGGCCAGCTGGTCAGCAAACCCAAGGGATCCTCCTGTATCCACTGCCACTCCAAGAACTGATATTACGTATACTACCACACCTAGCTTCTTTTATTACATGGGTATTCAAATGCAGATCTTCAATCTTCATGCTTCAAAGGAAGTATTATACTGACTCAATCACCTCTCCAACCTTATATGTTGGTCCTTGATATGAGTATTTGGTAACTTGCAGAACATTTGCTAGTTTTGTTTTGTTTTTAAAGAAATTTTTTATTCATTTTACATATCAACCACAGATCCCCCCTCTCATGCTTCCTCCCACTCCCCCCACCAGTGTTCCCCACCCTCCTACCCTCCCTCTCCTCCTCATAGAGCCTTCATCCAATAACTGATGGAAGCAGTGCAGAGATCCACGGCCAAGTATCATCAGACCATGCTCTGGGAGTCCAGTCAAAAAGAGGGAAGAGGAATTATATGAGCAAGGGGGGTCAAGAACATGATGGAGAAATCTACAGAGACAACTGAACCGAGCTTGTGGGAACTCACAAACTCTAGAGTGACAGTTGTGGAGCCTGCATGGCACAGGACTAGGCCCTCTGCATATGGGAGACAGTTGTATAGCTTGGTCTGTTTGAGGGGCCCCTGGCAGTGAGATCAGGATCTACCCCCAGTGCATGAGCTGGCTCTTTGGAGCCCATTACCTATAGTGGGATGCTTTGCTCAGCCTTGATACAGGGGGAAGGAGCTTGGTCCTGCCTCAAGAAAAGTTTTAAAGAGTCAAAATAAAACCAAAGGATTATGAGACTAGTGGCAATAGAATAGTCCCTTAATTTTGGTTTTTCTTCTGCCCCATCCCAGGTGGCTCTTCTGACATGAGACAGAGATTTGGGATTTTCCTTTAACAAGCAAGCTTTCTCATCTGGACTACCAGCTCACAAATAATGACACAGAGACTTCTTATTAATTAGGAAAGCTTGACCATAGCTTAGGCTTGTTTTCAACTAGCTCTTATAACTTAATTAACCCATATTTTAAATCAATGTGCTGCCACATGGCTCATTACTTCATCTCCATACTGCACAGCCTGCTCTCCCTGCATCTTGCTGGTAAATCCTACATGCCTAGATTCCTCCTCTGCTTCCTCTCTCTCCCCAGAAATCCCACCTATCCTTTCCTGACTATCTATTGGCCATTCATCTTTTTATTACAACAATCACAGCAATATATCTTCATAATGTACAAATATCCCACAACAGGTGACTAGTAATCTAAATGACCCTTACAGCCAGGGACTTCTCCAAGCTCCCACAACCAGGACCTGAGATACCTAATAGTCTAAATGATCCTTATAGTAGCTGTATAACCAGGGGCTCCCCAAGCTCCCACAATCAGGAACAGAGGTAGCTAATAGCCCAAATGACTTCTACAGAATCTGTATGACCTAGACCAGACCAGAGTCTTCCCTGCGTCCTTAAGCTAATACAGGCAGCCTATCTCTAGAATCTACCTTTTTGGAAGAAATGACATGTACATTGAGTTGAGTTTTGATGTAATTACACTTTCTTGTGAACTGGGGATTATATTACACCAGGAAATTTTTTTTTTTCAAAATCATATACTGTGTTTAAATTTGTTGGAAATAAACCACCTGATATCAGACCCTTTAGAAGTCTTGATTCAGGTTTGTGAAGTCAATCTGAACTGAGCTTTCATTCTCATCTCTTCATGGTTCACTTCCCTGCAGGGTCCTCTCACACACTTCATGTATGTAGGGAAAGAAACCCACGAGTGTTCAAGCTATGTTAGTAGGGACTATGTTAATCCTAAAAGATTCTGTTCTTAAGACCCATTCTGGTTTTTCTGGTGTAACAACCAACCCCCAGTGACTCACAGTTCTACCCCTTTACCATGTCTGTCAGGACCGACAGACAACTTTTCTCTGAATAATTAGTAGCTGGATTAGCAAGTCACAAAGTTGATGCTTTCTGCAAGGCTATATTATGACTTTTATGAATTTTAATAATATTAATAATATTTTCCCTAATAAGATATTCTCATTAGCCTGTCTTTGGCCCTGTCCCATGAACACTCAGGGACTTCAGAGCACCTTGTCACAACACTCTATCATTCATACCACTTCCTCAGTCATTGCTTCTTCTTAGACCTCACAAATACCAGTTCACACTTGCTTCTGATTCTAGGACCCAAAAATGCCACCATTGTTGAATGGAGATTCATCATGATGGTGACTCAACCCCAGGTAGAAGGTGACCTAGCACCACAGGACCAAACTTGATGGGAATTCAGGGCGTGGGCCTGACATACCAACCTCAGGAACGTGACATTTTACACAGGCATGGCCTCTACTCTCTCACAGAAGACAGCAAGATAACTCTTGTCATTTTTTGAGATCTTTCTGGTGATAGGGTCCTCTCAAAAGATGCATGTTCTGGATCTTAGAGCTTCATTTTGCATCTGAATTAAAATAGAAATGATTTTTCAGGTGTAGGACATTTCATATGCCTGAAGGTTCCACTTAGGATTTTTACTTTTTTTTTTTTACTTACCCCCACATCTGTAGAAGGCCATCTTTGCTTCCTCTGTCTAATGGAACCTCGGGAGAACAATTCTGGCATCAATGACCACATTCTGTATGTATGTGCACACTGAGCTATTGATCTCCCTCAATCCCGTTCCTGCCTGCCAGTCCACCATCCCAGTCCCACAGTCCTAGACCATCAGAGTTCCCAGTAGATCAACAGGTCTTTGCCATCTCTGCAGTATACTACAGGTAGGAGGGGTTAAGTTCACATTACTTAAAGTACTTTCTGAGTAACTCACATTATTTGCTTTGCAAACAAATATGAGGGATGGGTGAGATGATCCAACAGGTAAAGGTGCTTGCTGCCATGCCTGGTGGTGGCCTGAGTTCAGTCCCCAGGACCTATATGAGGAAAGGAACGAACTGACTCCCACAGGTTGTCCTCTCCTTTCCACATATGCATCACGGCACAGCAGTGGAGGCAGGGGGAGAAAGGAAATTTAAATGTGTGTGTGTGTGTGTGAAGAATAAAAGATTAACCTAATTACAGGTATATCACATATCACATATACAGCATATGTGGTATGATATATGTAAAATCTACAAATTTAGTATAAAGTTCAAGGAAATCTCTGATATAAAAACTTCCTGAATTTTGGCCTTATTTTAGAAATGATTATACATATGCACACACACAAATATACCCATGGATTTTGTTTTGTGTTTTGCTTCTTTTTCACATTTTTCCTTTGGTCTCACAGTTCCTTACTTCTTGAGGCTGAATGGACAGCCAGTGTCCATAAGCTATCCTCAGCTTGAATGACACTGAGTCCTCCTTAGACTCCTCTTCTGGAAAGGGTGTCCTATGCTAAGATCAGCGGGTGCTGCAAAGCTGGGGGGTCATACTCAGTTCAGACTCCCTCCTTGCAAGCTGATGAAGGAGGCTTTTATTCCTGAAGGACTCACAACAAAGAGGAACTCAAGTGAAAGGCCTCCATCCTGGAAAATGAACTGTGCTGGGCTTATTATGTCCTGGAGCATGAATACCACAAGGCAAGCAGCAGAAACTTCACTGGCCATGTCACACTAAGGCTCTGGTTCAAGAGACAATCCCCCTTATTACAAAATTGGCAAAGCCCTTGGACTGTCCGGGCTTTGGTCCTCCACTCTGCTGAAGCCCGCCTCCTCTGTCTGTTGCCCCTCCTCCCTGCCCACACTGGTACTTTACTTCCCAGAGCTTACCCCTCAGCAGAAGCCATGGAAATCCCACACAAACTTTTCCTGCTTCTGCGTGAAATATGGATTCGTTAAGAAGAGGATTCAGTAATGAACCATGGCACCCTCCAGGCTCTTCTACACATTACTCTCTCCCTCCTAGAAGCTTCCCTAGGTACAAACTGGAACATTCACAGGGCTTGGTTCATTTGCTTCTCATGTTTTAAGCACCTTTCATTGTCTAATATCTATTACTGTATCATCTGTTTTGTCTTGGGTGTTTGTTTTCTGTATTATTTTAGTCAGGGAAACAAATCCAGTCTGTTTAATATGCCCTATTAAAAATAGAAAACAACATGTACTCAGTTTTCAAATCAAATCTAAAATACATAAAATCAAACAAAATAGATAAACAGATAGACAGACAGATAGATGATAGATAGATAGATGATAGATAGATAGATAGATAGATAGATAGATAGATAGATAGATAGATAGATAGATAGATAGATAGGAGAGGGGGAATAGAGAGAGATGAAAGATAGGTTATTAGATGAGTAGATGATATTTTTAGAATATATTTGGTATTGATGAAATGGTAAGGATTTTTTTAACTTGATGCCAGCATACTCTTTTATACACAGCAAGCGATTAATGGTAGGATGAAGTAAATTCATCTTCAGTCTGTTCTCTTCCACCTGAAGGCCTGTGTGCAAATATTCCCAACCTAAAGCACACATCAGGTCCAGCCTCCAGTGTAAATGGTGGGCTGTCCTTTGTTCAAGTTTCACCTCTTGGCTAGGATTAACTACCTCTAAGGCCATTTGTAAAACTGAATTTGGAGTATCTTGAGAATTTTTGGGTTTTTTTAGTTTTTATTTGGCATTATAGAATTACTTTCCTCACTGTACAACAAAATACCTAGTTAAAATAATTTAAGGAATGAAGGGTGTGCTTGGCTTTCACTTAAAAGAAACATAGTCCAGCGTGGCAGGGAAGGCATGGGCAGCATAGTATGAGGCTGCTGGTCCCACTGCTTCTGTGATCGAGTTGGTCACACTGCATCTGTACTCAAGTGGTCACACTGCATCTCTAGTTAAGTTGTCACACTGCATCTCTCTCTAGTCAAGTTGGTCACACACTGCATCTCTAGTCAAGTGGTCACACTGCATCTCTCTCTAGTCAAGTTGGTCACACTATATTTCTAGTCAAGTTGGTCACACTGCATCTGTACTCAAGTTGGTCACACTGCATCTCTAGTCAAGTGGTCACACTGCATCTCTAGTCAAGTTGTCACACTGCATCTCTAGTCAAGTTGTCACACTGCATCTCTAGTCAAGTTGGTCACACTGTGTCTCTAGTTAAGTTCACCCAGCTATAGACAATGATCAACACAGAAAGGTATTGTAATGCCAATAAGGAGTTCCTAAGAACAGATGATTTTTCTATGCATCAGTTTCCAAATCTTTATACATCTCCAAAATATCTCACAATTAAAAAAATATTTTCAAGCTCTATTGCTTTTTCATTTTTCAGTATTATTCCTTTTCTTCAACATCTTTAAGAGAGGGATTTTGACCAATGTGATGGGAAACTTTCAAAAAAAATTGTCTGAGGGGCTTCAGAGATGTCTCAGGGAGTAAGCTTCCTGTCAGGTAAGAATGAGGGTCTCAACTCAGACCTCAACTTCCATGGGAAAGCCAAGCACATAACCCTACATCTGTAACCTCAGCAGTGGACGAGGATCTGGGAGAGAGGCAGACCCCTGGAACTCATTGGCCAGCCAGCCTAGCCAAATGATGAACTCCAGATTCAGTGAGAGACCTTGCCTCAAAAAAGGATAGAGTAATTAGGGAAAAAAATCCAATGTCATGTCAACTTCTGGCCTCCATATGCACACACACACACACACACACACACACACACACACACACACACATACCATGCACACATCTACACAAAAGAAAACTATCTGATTTACAAATGCTTTTTGTTTTGTTCCAAAAAAAATGGTACAAGTCCATTTTATAGGAAAATAACATTTGCTAAATAGAAATGTTGTATCTCCAAATTCAGACTAGAAGGAAATAACCCCATGGCTGACAGAATTGCCTCTGCGCCCACAGGAGTGAAGCAATGCACTCTCTAACTTGTTTAAGTTTTCTGTCTTCATATACTAAATATGAGCGAAAACAGAGGACTTACAAAAGAGAAAAGGATCTCTGATTTGCTCATTTTACAAGTCTGAAAATTCAATTTTTCATCTTAAAAATTTTATGTTTCTTTCTCATTAAATTATGCTTGCCTTTTTACTTGGCCACAATGTTATTTTTATAGACCATCTAAAGGACATTTAATTCATTTCAACTAAGCCCCAATTTTTGCCACTTAGATGACTCCAGCTAATCCTCTATTTCTGGTCATGTACATTTCTCAATGAATCTCCGTGAATGGATATATAGGTCATTTCAGCTTCTCCTCATCACAAAAAGGGAAACATGGAAGATACAAAACAGCCTCATAATCCATCAATTTACATTTATTTGAAAAATTGGTAATTACAAAATTAGCATTTTTCACTCAAACATCTTTTCAACACCCTCATTATGTTGGTCAAGGCTACATCACTGAATCACTTCAGACAAAATGTTTTCAACCATATCAAGTGTGCAGTTGTGGAGTATGAGTCTCAAATGCATTCAGAAGAGGAACACAGAAACCAGAATAAACCAGTGAGAGGCAGGAAAATGTACAGAGATGTATTGAGTTCACTGTCACTTTAAAACTGTCACAATTTCCTTGGGAGCATCCTGGAAGGGCACAAAGAAGTCTCCATAGCCTCATCCCCCACCTCTCCCTTCCAGACAATACCCAGATTGATAATGGATGTCATACGTCCCTCAACACTCAACCTGTGCTGGATGGCACATTGCTTTGGCTCCCTTAATGCCTCTCTCCCCAGGTTGGACTCTTTGCTCTAGGTCTTTAATCTCTTCTGCTATTTGCTACATTAAGTCTCATTTCTGTATTAAATTGTATGTGTTCTAGGCATACTCCTTGGTGTTACAGTTCCTTTTCTATCCATTATGAAGCTTTCAGCTGCCTGTTACACGGATTGACATGGTTCATCCAAGCAGAAATTATTTTAACTAAGAATGCAAATTCCTTCCGTACAGGGTATAAACTTTCTGAGCTTATCCTCACCACTGTACAATGAGTTATTCCTAATTCCTACATCATGGGGCCGACACATGGATTCCAGGAGGGAGTCTGTGAAGTGGCTGACATAGTGACAACTTAGTGAGCATTAACCTTGCTTATTGACAGCACGGAGTTAATTAGACACTGAAAAGGAAGACTGTTCTATCTCCAACAGTTCTGAAACCATGGTCCACAAACAACCAGCACCAGCATCATATGAGAATTTACTGGAAATGTAAAAGTTCAGACCCGACAACTGAATCCTAAACTCTGGGTGTGGGGCCCAGCAACCTGGGTTTTAGCAAGCCATCCCAGTGACACACTCAAGGATGATAACCAAGGTTCTACATCAACCCTACCTACTGCCAAGCCATACAGACATCATTCCCAGAAAATGGCTTAGACTCATAAGCCAAGTAAGACATTTGCTCTTATTCTCCCCCTACCCATGCCTGGGGCCAGGACTCTGCCACTAGATCAGTGGTTCTTGGCCTGTTGGTTACAACCCCTTTGGGGG